TCATGAGGTGGTTAATGGATGTTGGTTAAACAATGTAAACTGGTTGCATGCTATGGAGACATTTCGGATTAATGCTTCGGAATGGCATAGAAATGTTTATAGGATTGCTCTGAAAAGAAAGAATGATTTGCATGCAAGGATTAGAGGTATTGATAGATGTCTTAGTTATCAGTACAATCATAGCCTTGAGATGTTGCAAAAGGATCTATGGAGAGAACTAGACAAGATTTATCTTCAAGAGGAAATTACTTGGTTTCAAAGATCGAAATTGAATTGGTTTGCTCTTGGAGATAGGAACTCGCGTTTCTTTCATTCTGTGACGGTTGCCAGACGTAGGAGGAATCGCATAGATACGTTGAAAAACTCTGAGGGAGTTTGGATTGGTGATCAACAGGTTTTAATGGAAATGGCTGTTTCTTTCTTTGAAAATCTGTACACAAAAGATCCATTACCTAAACCGGCTTTTCCAGTTCGTGGCTTTATTCCAGTTATTGAAGCGCATGCTTTAGACACGATGAGTATTATGCCAAACAGTAAGGAGATCAGAGATGTAGTCTTCTCTTTTGGTCCATACAAGTCGCCTGGGAAGGATGGGCTTAATGCTCTTTTCTTTCAATCTCAGTGGGATAAGGTGGGTGAGTCAGTTATCTCTTTTGTGAAAGGTGTGTTCCTTCATCCGGATAATATCAAAGAGGTTAACCAAACTTTGATTTGTCTGATTCCTAAGATTGATGTGCCTGAATTACTTAAAGATTTCAGACCTATTAGCCTTTGTAATGTTATTTACAAGACTGTAACTAAGATTGTGGCTAATAGGCTGAAATTTCATATGGCTCACTTGGTTATGCCTAATCAATGTGGTTTTATTAAGGGTAGACAAGGAGCGGATAATATCATTGTGGCTCAGGAAATCATCCATTCCATGAATAAAAAGAGAGGAGATAAGGGTTGGATGACTGTCAAAGTTGATTTAGAAAAGGCTTATGACAAGATTTCTTGGGAGTTTCTGAAAGACACGCTTGTGGATGTTGGTTTGCCTGAGAATATTATTTCTCTGATCATGTGTTGTGTCTCGTCATGTACAATGAATTTGTTATGGAATAGATCAACTACGACAAAATTTTCTCCTAATCAAGGTCTTCGTCAGGGAGATCCTTTGTCTCCTTATCTTTTCATCCTTTCCATGGAAAGACTTGCTCATTTGATTAATGTAGCAGTTCAAGAGGACATTTGGAAGCCTATCAGATTGAATAGAAGGGAACCACTGCTTTCTCATCTATTTTTTGCAGATGATCTTCTGCTCTTTACAGAAGCCACAGAAGGGCAAGCTGTTATTATTAATAAGATTCTTGATTGTTTTTGCAGGTGCTCTGGTGAGAAGGTTAGCAAGGAAAAAACAAAAGTCTTCTTCTCCAGAAACGTTAATCATACCCGAGTGCAAAATCTAAGCCAGTTGATGGGCTACTCTCCTACAAATGACTTGGGTAAATACTTGGGTATTCCTCTTCGTCATAGCCGTGTTACAAAGAGTACGTTTGGCTATATCTTAAATCGGATGCAAGCTCGTTTAAATGCCTGGAATCAACGTACTCTTTCATTGGCAGGAAGATCAACTTTGGCTAGGTCAGTTCTTACTGCAATTCCTCAATATCCTATGCAAACTTGTATTATTCCTAGTGGTACGTGTGATCGTATTGAGAGTGTAACTAGGAATTTCATTTGGGGATCAACTTCTGAACGAAGGAAAGCTCACCTGGTTTCTTGGGAGACGGTCTGTTTGCCGAAGAATGCAGGGGGGCTTAGTTTTCGTAAAATTAAAGAGAATAATATGGCTTTTATCATGAAGCTAGGTCACCGAATCATGACTGGTCGTAATTCGTTATGGGTTCGGGTCCTTCGTAGCAAGTATAAGGTGGAGGAAAGGCTCATTCCAAGTATCTCGGCTTCCGCAAATGATTCTGGTTTATGGAAGGCTATTGTTAAGTATTGGCCTCAAACTCTAGAGAATTCTCGTATCATTTTAGGGGATGGGGTTCATACGTCTTTTTGGATGGATTCGTGGGTGCCAGGATGTCCTCAACTTGTTTCTCTGGCCGTTCAACCTATTTCTCCTATTATGACTCATTGGTCTACGTCTCAATTTGTAACTTGTTATGGTAATTGGGACTGGCCTTTATTTCAGCACCTTCTTCCTACTTCAGTATTAGACAAGATTCGTAGTGTGCTCCCTCCTATAGTGGATCCTTCTCCGGACCGTGTTATTTGGGAAGGTAGCCAAGATGGGGTTTTTTCAGTGAAATCAGCTTATAACTATCTCATGGGTACCTCGCATTATCATCACGATAGGATTTGGAAGGTAATTTGGGTTTGGCCTGGTCCTGAACGTATTAGACAATTCTTATGGCTTCTCTACAGAGGTTCTCTTTTAACTAATGTTCATAGAGTGCATCGTCACATGGCTACAGATGCAGGGTGTCTGAGATGTCATTATAATCTTGAGGATAGTTTACATGCCATTAGAGATTGTCCTGGTGCCAGGGAATTATGGGAGCATTGGGTTCTTTCTGATAACCGTAGTGACTTTTTCTCCATGGATCTTCACCTATGGATTCAGACAAATCTAAGATTAAAAGGTCCGTTTCAAACTGATCGAACTTGGCCTTTGTATTTTGGGGTGATAGCTTGGTGTTTGTGGGGGGAAAGAAATAAGGCGATCTTTGATCAAACTATCACCTCGAAGTATGATCTCATTAGGCGCATTACCTATACTTGTGGTAATATTCAATTGGCTAATGAAACCCTTATTAAGATTGGTCATCAGGAGCTTAGAAGAGAGGAACGTCTTATTCACTGGAATTTTCCCTCTGAGGGTTATGTTAAACTTAATGTGGATGGTTCCAGTATAGACAGTGGGCAAAGGACTGCATGTGGTGGAGTCATAAGGGATGCTGCTGGGAACTGGTTAACTGGTTTTACAAAATTCCTTAGGAGTGGTACTTCTACTTCAGCGGAAATTTGGGGGTTCTTGACAGGTATGGATCTGGCTTGGCATAAGGGATTTAAGAGAGTCTTTGTGGAGGGTGACTCCAAGGTGGCTTTGGAATTTATAAGAAAAGGGTGTGACGTAAGTCATCCTCTTTCTGCTTTAATCATCCGAGCTCGTAGCATGCTTCAAAGAGACTGGATTATTCAGCTTAGTCATACTTATAGAGAAGGCAATTTTGTTGCTGATTGGCTTGCTACTCATGCACCTCATCAGGATGGACAACTGATTGTGCTAGATGTCCCCCCAACAGCTTGTTTGGAATTGCTTCGTAATGACTTGAAGGGAGTTAGTCTCCCAAGATTGTGCCCAGTATAGAGTTTTTTTTGATGTTGCTTTAGTTTTCATTGTATTTCCAAAAAAAAAAAAAAAGTAATCTTTTTGGAGGAGTGTCTTGTTTTGTTTTTAGAATGTATGAGAAATAAAAAGAGGTGAACCTAGATAATAATTAATTATAAACCCTAAAAGGATTAAAATTTAAAAAAATTAAATCAGAAGATTGTATTATACAAATATCTTATATTCAAAAGATATGAAACCATGATTCTATCAGATGAAATTTTATTAAAAAGGTAAGTATAAAATAGCATGTACGGTACCATTTAAACATTTCGAATGCAATGAAATGGAATATAATGCCCGTCAAATTAAAGAATGCACCTTCAAAATTTCAAGAATACTATATACCAGCTCCTTATATAGAGTTTCCTATAGGATGCATCGACAAGGTATTAATTTAATCTAAAATACATCAACATTTTAAAAACTTAAATACCTTTAAAAATGTAATTAAAACTAATGGAATGATTTAATAAGCTAAAAAGGTGAAATTATGAATTTGGGTTTTGTTTTTTTAATACAGAATTTGATATTTTCTTCCTCATGGGTAGATAGATGGGTAAGATGGCTATTGTAACGGGTCAAGACACTACCAAGCCTGCTTTAACAACTGAAGAGGGTAGATCCAGGCCCAAGACGCTTCACCGAAGCCGCTCTACTTGGACAGGTACTAGAGTAGTGCAATTAGGACGCCTTTGAAAAAAGTGATTTTTATGCTTGTTTATTTTAAAAGTACTTATTCCAAAAGTTATAGCTATTTATATGTTTTAAAAAGTATTTGGATTTTGAAAAAAATACTTGGATTATGACTCTTGTTTTTTTTTAGAAACTAAAATTTGTAGTTTAAAAAAAAAGAATAAATTTTTGATTATTTTTGTAGCTTCTGTTTTTTTTTTTAAACAGACGTCTAAACAGACTTTTAAATAGAAATATATTTTTTTTGAAAAAAAAAACAGCTTTTGACCCAAAAAAATAAATAAAATCCAAACGGCCCTTAGAATCGGCTAGCCAAGAGCATCCGATTTAATTTTAAAGACCTCCTTTTCTTGTTTGTTAATCGTTAACGTGTTGTGAGGGATGGTCATCCCATTGTGTTTGTAATTTCCGTTTATATGTGCGTAATTATTGGAAAAAAATTATATACAGGACCAAAATTCCAATTAATGAAAACTATAAAAACTAAGCATATATTTTAACCTAACAAAAAAAAAACTTTTTCTTGCTTTTCTTTTTTTTTGTTTCCCAAATAAAACAACTTTCGTATACCACAAAACATAGCACCTGATTAAGCTCTTAATGAATTTGCAGTATATCTCATGTTTCAAATGAAACAACTTTCAGTTCTATTGAAAAATAAAAAAGGGAAATATTAGTCTCCTTTTACATGAGGTAGTTTATCTCATTTTCTCTCACTTCGATTTTCGCACCTCACTTTTTTTTTTCTTTTTCTTTTTTCTTGTAATGGTGGGACCCACCTAGTTTCTCTCTACAACATAAGATACCTATCTTATGTAAAAGGAGATTAATAAAACCCAATAAAAAAATACAGAAAAACAAGAATTAAACTAAAACTTGTTCATAAAAACAAGGTTTAATATATCTCAGTAGATATCTCCCATATGAAATCTATGTTTTCTCTTTCTTCTTCTTATATGGACCCAATTTTAAATATACATGAAGATAATTTATTTCATGAAAAATATTAAACCCTTAAAAAAAAAAAAAAAAACTTTAAAGTGCAAAGAATCAATTGATCTTCTTATCCATGTTCTTGACAAGCTGACCCATTTGAAACCTCCAATACAAGAAATAAGCTAAGCCCACTCCAATCATCACATACATCCAAACATTCTCATCCTCACTCTCCTTTGGGGACTTCACCTCCTCAATTCTAAAACTATCCCTCTCTGAATTTCCCGAAATACCCTCATCCATTCGCCCGTACAACACATAGGTCCTATCACTCTCCCCCACAACAACCGAAGTTGGGAACCCCTCCACGTCGAGGTCAATTTTGTCAAATACCACACCCTGGCCCCACCCATCATTGCTCTTGAGGAACCACACCTTGTTGTTCACAGGCGACACCACCAAAACGACGCCGTCACTCCTCATAACGGCGCCGTCAGCCGACATCAGATCCTCGTTCAGAAGCACGTGCCTGGCCGTACCGTCGTCCGCATCAACCTTGAACATCTTCCCCGTATTGTATTGCACCACCAGGAGGTAACCGTTGCTGACGTAAACGATGCCGTTTAGGCCGCAGTAACTATACGGTGTGTCGGGGAGCACGGGATGTTCTGTGAACCTCGGCGAATTCGAGAAGATCGAAGCTTCCCCTCTATCGTTGACCTTCCAGATGTAGTTGTTGAAGGAGTTGGTGACGTAAGCGTTTCCCTTGAAGTCCACTGCGACGTCGTTTGCGATGGCGTCGTCATCGGAAGAGGGGAGAAGGGAGAGGAAGAGGCGGTGGCCGGAGCGGAGGTCGTAGGCGGCGAGGGCGTTGAAGGGTGGGAGGGGTTTCATGGCGTGGAGCACGGCGAGGACGCGGTTGTTGCGGGAATCAACGGCAAGGCCCAAAACGGTGACGTTTTCGGGGAGGGAGGGGTCGGAGATTAGGGTTTCGACGACGCCGGCGTCTGAGACTGCAGAGATGGTGCGGCGGCGGAGGGATCCGACAAGAAAGTGCTGCCCTGTTGGGTCCCACGCGAGGCCTTCAGGGTAGAGGTTCGGTGATCGGAAATTGATGACGTGGTTGTTTCCGGCTAAAACTGTGATCGATGGTGAATTTTCGACGGCGACGAGGAAGAAGAGGAGGACGGTTGGGACGGCGGTAAAGTGGTGTTTGGATGAGAATATTGGCATAGTGAAGTTTCGACCCTGTGAATGTAGTAGGGTGTTTGGTTCCAAGGTTATTTATGTACTATGATTGAGTTCAATTTCTTGTATAGGGGGTTTCTTTGTGGTTTCTGTCAAATGAGAAAGGTCAAGGGTCTTCAACCACTTTTCTTTATTGGGTAAATACGAGTTTTCAAAATTGGTGTTTTGCTGTTCCATGTTCGTTATAGGGTTTTTAATCTAACAAGTCTCTTCTCAATTTAATATGTATTTAGATGTCATCTTAAATAAATAAATAAATAAATAAATTAGCGTTTGTTTCGATCAACTTTTTCTCCCCGTTAAAAAGTTAAAAAAATTTCAAAATAAAAGTTTTTTTCAATTTACATATGTTTGGGGGATAAATTATTCGACCCGTCTCTTTTTTTTTTATGAACATCTCTCAACAAAGCCTTCTTCATACACACGGTCAGGAATCGAACACCCTGTCGGCATGCTCAAGGAACCCAGCTATCTATCAACTGTGCTGGACTTTGTTGGTACCCACCTCATTTTCTACTTATCTTTATCTACCACTTTAAAATACAATTAGATCATAATCTTAACTAATCTTTATCTTTCTCTCTTTTCTTGAGATTCTGATCTAACGGTGTTAAAGAATAATAAGAAAAAGATAGGTAAAATAACATATCTCATGTTTTAGATGGAACTTTAGAAGTAAATCTAAAAATAATACTTTTTTATTTTTAAAAAATGATGCTTTTTTAAGAAGATAATTTTTGGATTTTTAAAAAAAATAAAAATACTTTTTACTTAAAAGTGCTTCTTAAATATTAATGCAAACATAAAATAGTTCTGACTTTTGTATTTATATTTTTATAAAAATCATGCATAAAAGCCATTTTCTTAAAGGTCATCTAGATGGGCCTTAAAGTGATGTTTTATTTTTTAAGTCAATAATCCTAAGGCTGTAAAGGGAGACAGAGTCCTCATAATTCATAACATTATCATTGCACATGAAGTTATGCACTCCATGAGAGTAAAGAAATATAACAAGGGTTGAATGGCCATCAAAGTGGATTAGAAAAAACCTATGCTCTCCAAGATGTTGGCTTACCCGCAAGAGCTACTCGCCTCATTATGGACTGTGTGACCACACTTGCACAATAAATGTGTTGTGGAATGGCACTACTATGGTAGAGTGAGGCCAACCACCTTTGCCCATATTCCACAACAAATAGACACCAATCTGAGCTCGTGGAAGAGAATATCCCTATCCCTAGCTGGGCTTGCTACCTTAGCCCAATCTGTTTTGTATAGAATCCTTTCATATTCGATGCAAACTTGCCTCCTCCCTAAGAGAAAACAATTTGTAATTTTATTTTGTGATCATCAATTGAGAAGAGAAAGATCCATGCAATGGCTTGGGACAAGGTGTGCAAAAGGAAACAGTTGGTCATGGCATCCTTACCAAGCGTGATTCACTTTGGGTTAAGGTCATAAGGAATAATATAACATAGGTGATGATCTATGATGCACTTACACTTGGCCTATTGTATATGCCCAACCATTGATTGAAGAAGCTCGTAGTCAACTAGAGTTGTGGCCTAATAAATATAGCCCAATTGTTGAAAAGACAGTGATTTAAAATATAACAAATTACAATCAAATCCAAATCTCAATAAAGCAGCAGATGTGATTGTGATTTGTTTTGGAAGAAAAGGAAAGCAACATATTTGACGTGATTTGAGATTAAAGATTTGGGATGTATTTTGAATTATTTATTTGTAATTTTTTATTTATTTTTTAGATTTTAATTACTGTTATTTTATTTTAGGAAGTTTTATTACTTTTAGAATTCTAGATTTAGAATTTTGAATCAATTTGTAATTAGTCTATAAAAGTAAAAGGGTGCTTATGATCCTTATTCTAGGAGTTGAATTTTGTTATTTGAGAATATAGAAATTGAGAACCGAATGGTTACTCTTTTGAAAAAAATCTCAACTTTCTGTTTAGCCACTTTTCTATGCGCTTTCGGTATCAATCTACTTTCTCATATCTTGGTTCTAAAAGGAACTCTTCCTTTATGTATAAAAGTTCTAAAAGAGTGCGGGGCGGGTCAGGAATGAAAATATTTAAATCCGTGAGTTTTTTTTACAAAACCAACAGCTTGAGGAGTCGATAGTTTTTTATGGGAAAATTGCCCAAGATTTGGAATTGGTTCATCTATAGAAGGTCTCGTTTATAATTTTATGTATGCACAAAATAACCTATGTTCTGTTGGTCTAGCAGCGCCCCATATATCAGTTGGACTTTTCCCCCACAGGGATGAACCAAAGTTAATATGGATGGGTCCAGCTCAAACGATGGAACAAAATCCAGTTGCGGAGGTGTGCTCAAGAATGACAGAGGTCTCTGGATTTTGGGATTCTATAAATATCTGGGCTTTGGTTCGTCTGTAGCTACTGAACTTTGGGGCTTTCTTTGCGGGCTTGAAGTTGGGTGGAATGTTGGTTATCGTCGAGTTTGGATAGAAGGTAACTCCCTCGTGGCTGTTGATTTCATCAACAAAGGCTGCCCAAAAAATCACCCCGTGGCCCCCATTGTTGACAAAATCCATAGGCTATATATTGGAGAAACCTTGGACATCTGTCACTCAAACCTTTCGCGAAGGGAATATAGTGGCAAATTGGATAGTATTTGGGGGGACTTGTTAGAAATGAATTTCAGTGGAGTTCGTAGTAGCCTCAGGTTCTGTCCTAATTAGGTGGTCTTTGTAATTTGCCTTATTTTTGAAAATAATAATAATTCTTTTTATTTAAATTTTTTTTTGGTAAAAATTTAAGGAGAATGATATTGTAACAATCAAGTTGTGTTACTACCATATTACTACCAATTAATCTTACCGTTAGATTCATTATGTTAATCCGACGGTTATATTTATTTCCATCTTTGTATGGTCATGATTTCCCAAATTTAATATTTTATATTTATTTTTACCTTTGGATGGTTATGATTTTTCATATTTAATGTTTTCACTTTAAATATGGGGAATCATAACCATACAAAGATGGAAATAAATATAACCGTTGGATCAACATAATCGATCTAACGGTGAGATTGATTGGTAGTAACATGATAGTAACACAACTGAGTTGTTACAATATCATTTTCCACAATTTAAATGCAAAATAAATAAGTGTAATTTCTTTTAAATCCCATCAAAAGTCTTATATATTGTGTGAGAGAGAGTTGGAAACACGAGGCCAAAAGGCCAAGCTTATTCATTGCTAGAGCAAGCATATTAAATTAAGGCCATGTAAGTGTTTATTTTTCTTTCTTTTTTAGTACATATTATTTTTCTTTTTGTCAAACGGTTATATTACACTGGATACCCCGAAAAAAAAAAACAGTTATATTACATTTTATTTTTTGTAGATATTATTTTAAGAAAGGTTGTAATAGGTGATAAATTTACTTGCTAGTAAATATTGTTGGGTTTGCTCTTTTACTAAAGCCCAAATGGGTTATTAGTATGAGAAGAGCCCAAGGAACCTAGAGCCCAATGAGCTAGGGTTTCTTGGAACCCATATAAATAGTACCTCTTAAGTCATCAGCCTCTAAGGTCTTCTTTGTGAGAAAGAGGCAAGCTCATAATCTAATCAGTGCCCACACACTTCCCCTTCCTCCTCGAGAGATAGTTTGGAAGATCTGCCACAGTCCAGCTTCAAGGAGGTTGTTCGTGCTGCGGCACTGAGGTGAGCTGTTCGTGAAGAGGAATCCTACAAGGGAAGATTCTACACGAGACCTGCGCACCGAGAGGTAATTGTGAAACAAGGATGATTCGGTAAGCATACCAATGTACTAGGTCCTAAACCGCTTCCGCATAAATCTAAGATTTCCTTCAATTGGTATCAGAGCCTTGGCTGTACATTGGTATGTGAATCTAGTTTCACTATTCATGTAATTAGTTTTGCTTCTTGAAATGTGGCACCTAGGGTTCTAGGATTATGGTATGAATCTAGCATGTGTATTTTATAATTCATTTTCATAAAAGTTTAAATTTTAATCGGTAAAAATGCTTTAATCCATGGTTAGGATCTCTCGTGTATTTCTCGATTTGTAACAAGGAGGCTAATCCCATATGATTAGGTTTCCTCCTTGCTGTTTTTGTTTATTTTTGGAATTTCTGTGTATTTTTCAAATATTTTGTAAAAGTTCAAGATCGAGAAACCGCGAGTAAGATGCGCAGTCAGAACTGTCGGAGACTTTTCGAGGTCTTCCAGATCTCGGAATGAGGCGATCTATATATGGTTGGAAAGAGGACGGAAAGACGAACGCAACGGTGGGTGGCTTACCGCCATCTGAGTTTACACGCGCCACCACGCGCCTTCACAAGATTCTGAGAGTGGCCGCCACTCTCCGGCAAAGAATGGGAGAGTGAGGGAGCGTCCGGCCACCTTTTTGGGTGATTCCGGCGGCGGTGCACTCGTCTCTACGTGGTGGTCCTTCCCCTGGAGTTTAAGCTTGATTTGACTTCGGGTGACGGCGCGGCAGACCTGACGGCTAGGGTTTCTCTTTCGCGTCCTAGGGTTTCTCGCCAAAGGATTGGGTCTTTGGGCTTTTGGGCCCATGAAACCCTAAAGGGGCTTGAGACAGATACTATGGGCTAGACGAATTTCGAATTCCAAAGTTGTATTATTTTATTTTATTTTATTTTCTTTAAAATAGGAAGGCCATGGATTAAAGTAATTAGATTTTATTATTTAATGCTTTTATTGATTGGTATAAATTATATGATTGATAACATGCTTTATTGCGATAACATGCCATATAGAATAGGTGGTGCCATATTGTTGCATAACTTGTATGATTGCATGAGCATAATAGCTATTATGTCTTCAGCGACTAGTATGATAGTTATTATGGGATTATTTTGATTTTAAATCATCCTAAGAAATTAATTAATAATTATTATGATTTTTATTAAAAATCTAGATTAATAATTGAATTAATTAATTTTGGATAATTAACATCAAGACAAATAATCGTTATGGAAATTATTTTGATTTCAAATTATCCTCATAAATGATAATTATTATGATTGTTGCAATCTAGATTAATAATTAAATCAGCTATTTGGATGATTTAAATCTAGAAAAATAATTAGAGAAAATTTCCTAAGAGAATTCTTTTATTTTGCGAGTAATTTGTGGGTTTTCTG